AAACGATTTTTATTTGTCTCCCTCCTGTATTCGAGTGGTGATTATCATTTAAATATTTTCATGTCCAAAAACATTCTGATTTTTTTCAGATTTTTTGCATCAAAATTGAACTCAAACTTTATTGACAAAAAAAATTGTTGGTGCGAAATATGAAATATCATATATCATGTCGATCGGATAGCCAAGCGGGCTAGGCGGCTGGCTTCTCCTTTGCTTCAATGCGAGAGATGTCAGTTCAATTCTCAGCTTGGTGTACAGAAAACAAAATGGGCTAACGCAACAGTTTAGAATTCTAAATGAATCTGCGGCTTAGTCTAGAGTATGCTGGTATCTGATCGACCTATGGTGGAGCAGTACGGCAAGAGATAAGGGCTTGCGGCTCGGTGATACTCCTCCATAGAGTATCGCCGGTATACATGCATATACATATAAAGCCGGTATAAACGTACTTTAACCTTTAATTGTGGCTTATTCCCATGTAAATAGTAATTACTTTAAATAGCCACAAGAAAATAGCTTCAGAATAATATTAAAAATAATAAAATAACAGTCAAACACCTGAATTTGTTATATAATATTTTAATTGATCCCATTATATAGTTGTTAGGGCAAGTATACCCAATGATATACTTGGCTAGCTGGATAGAATGACCTTTAAACTCGAAACTTAAACTCACAAACTGGTACTTCTAAAATAACCTCAAAAAAGAATCTCACGATCGTAATTAACCATGAGTAAGAGCCGTCTCTGTTAGAAAGAAAGTTTTTAGGGAGTGAAGGGAGAAACGAGACGGGAGGAGTGAGTAGCAGAACATTAGGTGGACCATAAAACAAACATTCCGACAGAGTAAGTTGAAACTTCAGATTTATTGTTGCAATTTCACGTACTATGTAATATGTTCGTTTCTTTTCGTTATTTCTTTTTCGGAAATGTATTCTTCTAGCAAGTATTTAAGTATTTATGATTTCAATATCGCGAGGATTTTTATTTTCGAATAAAAGAGGGATTGGGTGAATTTTAAACGAGTACTTTTAAGGTGGATTGATTTATGGCAGTGGGATTCTGTTGCTAATAAATAATGAATAGAACATTTTGAGATCCTCTTGGTTCTTAACACTCACCGTTTTAAAGGAATGTATACAGGGTCTCCCCGAAAATAGTGCATTCCTTTAAGGTTCGGATATAATACACAATTTGGAACAAAAAATCCTCTAAAACTTTTTTCTAATCTTAACCGTTTAAAAAAAAATACATTATTTTCCATATACTTAAACTTTTATTTTCAAAAAATTAAATCATCTGACAACGTCATAAGCAGTGAAAGCGCTTCTAAATAAAAGCTCGTTTGTTACTTCAGATATTTAACTCACCAACCCTTTTATTTACTATTTAAGATTATCGATATCTGAGGAAATGTAGGTAATATCTGCAAAATAATTATTTCTTGCTTTAATAATGTGGCGTTTGCTATTATCTGAACTAATTAAGGTTTTGGATTAAAGTTCAAAGTTAATATTTTTACTTAAGTAAGTACTATGGCTTAGTTCTTTAAAAGTAATTACATAATGCAATTAAGAAAAATTATTTGCGATGGTTTTCTGAAATGTATTGAAGTATGGCATAATTTTAAACGAATTGTTAAAATGTCAATTATTTCCTATAAAAAACACTTTATCTTTTAACTGAACTAGTATTATGTATTTACTAAGCTTTAAAGGTATTCAATGTTGAGGGTTTTAACTGAATTACATAGTTTACAGTGGAAATTAAATACAACAGATAACGTGTAATAATTCTTTTTTTTTTGGATTAAAGTTCAAAGTTAATATTTTTACTTAAGTAAGTACTATGGTCTAATTCTTTAAAAGTAATTACATAATGCAATTAAGAAAAATTATTTGCGATGTTTTTCTGAAATGTATTGAAGTATGGCATAATTTTAAACGAATTGTTAAAATGTCAATTATTTCCTATAAAAAACACTTTATCTTTTAACTGAACTAGTATTATGTATTTACTAAGCTTTAAAGGTGTTCAATGTTGAGGGTTTTAACTGAATAGATAGTTTACAGTGGAAATTAAATACAACAGATAACGTGTAATTTTTTTTTTTTTTTTTTTTTTTTTTTTTTTTTTTTTTTTTTTTTTTTCACTATGCTCGGACTATCAGTAATTCGTTTACTTAACGTGAACTAAAATTAAATTGAATACTTGTACTTACTTGAGAATAATTATTAAAATAAATGTTTAAAATGAACTATACCTTGCATTGATACGACGAATCCAATTGTTATTAATGCCACAGTTAACTAAATTATGTCAGATAGTTTCTGCAACATCAAAAATTCGTTCCCGTAATTCAGTTTGTTTCCAACGACGAGGATAAGTGGTATCAAGAAAAATTTTAACAGCTCAGGTAAAATGTGCTGTAAAATGACGGCAAGTTCAAGAAGTTCCGGCAAATTTTGTACTACTATAATTTTGTAACAAATTATGGTAGACCTCTCCATTTAGTGTTCTAGGTAAATCATATTATGGTCCTATCAAACAATTGTTAATTATTCCAGCCCTTACATTTATGTTAAATTTTCGTTGAAAATTTGTCTTACGATTAAATAATGGTTCTCGTCACCCCATAAGTGGCAATCATGAAAATTATACACACCGTTTCTCGCGAAACATGCTTCATTCGCACATAACAATTTAGATGGAATCAGGTTCTCTGAGGAATTCTTGAAACCACCTACAACATGGTAATCTCGGTGTAAATCTTGTACTTTCTGATAGTGGTAAAGATGTAGTTGTTCCCGAAATGTTCTATGAACAACGTTTTTCGTCATTCTTACAATTTTAGCCACCGTTCGTGTATATATATTTAGATTATTCTTCACAGCATCTAACATGTCTTCTTCTACATGTAATCGATGGATACTTCTTGTTCTTCCGCTATTATTTTCGATACAACAGGACCTGTTTCTAATAATCTTTGAGAAACATTCACAAAAGTTTGTGTATTAGGAGTTCGCCTTTGGGGGTTTCGGGAACATTTTCGCGGTGAGACGATTGTTCCAAAATATTGGTTTACTAAAATTGTAACTGTCTACGTCTATATTTTCGTACTACACGTAGTTGACAGATTTGTTTTTGCATACCAAAATGTATTTTCGTTTTTTGGTCAAACGGTTGAATTTAGAAAAAATAATATAACTATTCTCGGGGGCACCCTGTATAGTGTAATGTTGTTAAAATAATAATGGAATCTATGTCAATTCGTATTTAACACATTTATCCAGAGCATAATTACTTACAAGGTTCTTTTAATAAAAAGTTAATATTTAAAAATGTGTCACATATTCCGATTTCTTTAGCTTTTGTCAAGGTCAAAAAATATTTATTGCAGCAATTACGAAAAGTACACAAAATGTGATACAAAAATATCTAAAAATAACTTCATTGGTCCAGTTTAAACCTTTGTTTTGGTTCTATTCAGAAAAAAAGATGTGCTCGTAACACACTTATTCCATATCAGCAATGGCTCTTCTTTATAAATATAACCATGGTACAAATACGTACGTCGATCATCCCCCTATTAATATTAAGCTACTTTGCCAGATTTGGATATTGTAGGGTAGTATATACAGTACATGTGATAAAAAGTGATGAAGGAGCGGATGGGGCATAGGGAAGTACTACTCACAGCACAAGTACTCCTCAACCGGTAGACGTTTCTAGTGGGTAGACATGCAGTACATACAGTATAAATAAAAAATTGTAACGAAATACATAAAAACTAATAACCAAAAAATATATTTTGAATATATTCCTTTCGTATAATAATTAATTTCCACGTACCAAAGATCTCGGCATTTCAATAATTCTAGCACTTTATTTATATTGTATTTTACATGTTCTAAGGTGCCTAAACAGCTTGCTTAACACGTTACCTCATTAAGTCTTCCTAATTTAGACAAACCATTTAACGAGCCCCTTTAAATGGGACGTTGTTTGGTTTTTTTACGAGGAAAGGCTTGTTTACATTAACGACTTTTCTTACCCAGTAATAGGGTGTGTTTGCACGAAGATTATAATTGCGTTTCCGCTAATGACCTTTTCGCTTAGAAAAATAAATGAATTGAGGGTAGTTTTGAAATTAAGATTTCGGATGGTAAATAAGGAAGTTGAATTCTTAAAGAAATAAACTATGAATAATGTGTTTACAGGAAAAAAATGCGGAATAAATTGACAAAGGGCCCATAAATTGTAGATTTGGTTTGTTAGTATAGTGAGGGACAAGGGATTTTGAATTATTAGTTTATTTAAATGTTTTTACAAATTGATCGGAAAAATGGTTTTTAGCAGTAAACAATCTCGCAATATACTATTAAAAAAATACTTGGGTTCATCTTTTTTCTAAACTTAGGACTGGCAAAATAAAATATTTTTCAGTTACGAAAATAAGTAGACATTTTGTTTTGTACAAGAACATATTACATTGCGGAGGACAACATGGATGGGTGAACGATGCGTTATTGTTGAGTTCCAAAAGTATAAATGACAGTTCTCTAGACTACCACCAAGACATCGAAGGGACGCTATTTGAATCGTGGTTTGAGAGTACATTACTCCCAATTATCACGCAATGTCCATAACAATCACGCTATTTTTTTTAAAAGGGTTTACGCTATTAAAAAAACTATTACGCTAGGTTATGTACCCATTTCCAGCAAATATCGAAATTAATTCAGTAAAATAAAAATCGCGATGATTGAAGAATGCGTCGATCTACATTTTTTCATTCATTCATTTTTGCAGTTATTTCTATGTTAAATTTATAATGCGTTGTAGCAGACATGCCGTTTAAAAAACCAGTTGATCAAATTCTAGACATCTTACGAATCTCCCCCATTTTAACTTTTCCAAACTCAAATATCCCCAATTAAAAATTAAATATAGAACAAACCGAAACACAATAAACAAAAAAGAGGAGACAGTTACTTACTTTTGTGGTTCATTAGGGTCCCTCTTCTTCTTCTTTTTTTGTACTTTCGGTTTCTTTTGTGCCTTCGTTAACGTCTGATCGGCCGGTTCGGGAGACGGCCTTTTCATCGCTGTTATCTGTAAATAAAAAAAGACGTATAACAAAAAGTCTCGGTTTCGGCGAAAAGAATACACAGAAAATAGCTTTAAATTGGTTGTTGTTTTAAATGCTGGCTTTGGGATAGGATTTACATTATGCGGGTGGTTTAAAGGAGATACTTTGGTATTTTACATAAAAGTATTTACAAACACAATGTCCAATGACCGTTAAAAATACCAATTTTAGATTTAAACTGAATTACCTCACATATTATCGTATATGATATAACCTCCTCAGTCCCAGGAAACTTTTGTTTTTTAATTTCTATATTTAGGTGTGTTTTATGTTACATTGCGCATCAAGATAAGAAAAAATAATATTTTTTTTATGGCAGCCACCTTTAAAATCCAATGTCTCCTATGGGCGACATTGGGTTTCAAGATAATCAAAAATTCTCAAAAGCAATTTGTGTTTTACGAGTAACATAGCCATGATTTTTTATGAATACATCGGAAATAAATACACAACATTAGTTATATCATTTATTAAGTAATAAAATATGATAAAAAATAACTGGTAGATAATGTACTGGTGTCAGTTCATTCACGACATTAATGCTGTTTCTGTTTTCTTAGGGGCAGAGTAACACCTGACATGTAGAACATAGATTCTGGCTGAGTTAACGCCCTAGTCATTGTTCATGGTATAGCTTGAAGCAGTTTCTGTTTTCTTGGATGCAGAGGAATACCTGGCCTGTAGAACACCTGATTCTGGCTGAACATCTTCGGCATCTATTCTTGGCTGGGGTTGAGATTTCTGGTAAATGCAAAGTGTGCTTTTAACGGAGTAAGTCTGGAGGGTGAGATACCCTGGTTGCTTCCGAGAAGGTGACAAGGAACACTCTTAATCTGGATTACTATCCTCCGAGCACTCTGGATGACCATGGGCTAGGAAATATGCACATTCTTCTTTAAAACCGAAAAGATCCATAATATCTTTTCTGTGGGTTCCTAAAAGTCGCTGATCTCGTCGGTCTTTGATCCACGATGCCTGAAATTGTGAAGTAAAACATATGCATGATAACTCTGATTGTCCATTTCCTAGTTCGCGCAGAAGTCTTGTAATAACTTATCATTCAGTCTAAGAAATCAATGTCTCCCATATTGGCATTGTAAACCTTAAATATCAGAGGCCTGTTGACTTCAATGAACCTCTTTTGTATTTTACGCCATCTTCTACACTTATCGATAGGTTGTGAGCCCTATCTATATAAACGATATCACTCAAGAAATATTCAAAGAAGAACTAAGTTATTATATACAAAACACTGTTGATGCATGTTCTTACGTATGGGGTGAAAACCTGGACTTTACCTAATTCAGAAGGATGAAATACTTTTGGGAAAATGTGAACGTAAAATACTCCACAAAATATTTGGAGCTATAAACGACCAAGGACAGCGACGCAAAAGATATAATTTCCACTTATATCTCTTTACTTATTTATTATCTCTAAACTCTTTAATGAACCAGATGTCGTAACATTCATTAAAAAAGAATGACTAAGATGAGCTGGACACATAACATGAATGCCAGACAATATAATTGGTAAAACGTTAACCAACAGGAACACCTATAGGAAGAAGAAGTAGGCGTCAACCAAAAATTAGGTGGGTAGATGGAGTTGAGACTGACTTACTAAACTTGGACACTAAAAAATATTAGATGGCAACACGTTGCCAGAAACTGAACAGAATAGCGACAAATATTAGAGCAGGACAAGATTGTTGAGCCAAAACCTACATGCTTGACCTTGAGGTCCTTCTTCAATATTCGTTACATGCTTTGCTGGGATATTTTCAGTTCTTTGGCCATTTGTACCACTACGATGTGGATTTTGCTTAAGTTGAGCCTTCCCTTTCCGAAACATTTCAGGTGATGTTTGCAAGAAAATAAGACAATGTTAGCAGTAAAAAATTTAATGTGATGTTGATATTGAGAGTGAGTTAAACACAAACCAATGAGACCAAATCCTTACTGCATAGGAATATTAATACAGAAATTAGTTTCAAATAGTTCATTTATCTTCAAATCTTGTTACAATAATTTGTTGTTACAATAAGTATATTTTGGAAACAGATTCTTCCAACTTTGGTGTTGGTCCTCTAAGGAATGTCCTCTATATTTTTCTATTTTTTATAATATCAATCTTATTCATAAACACTTCAACAAGCATTCTCCAATTTATAGCTATCTAAATGTATGCAAAAGCACATCCAGACTTTATCCAATGCACTTATTTTATTTTTCATTTTAGATTATTCTCCAGTATTTTTATGGTAAAATAAAAAAACCAAATTGATGGAATACATGTCATCTTTTCTTGTAACACTGCTATGCAGTATGGCCTTAATAAAGTTAAAAAACATATATACTTATTATGTTTTGTTTGAAAGTATCTGCTTATTTTACAATCATCTTATTTAACCTTAAGTGCTCAGCAATATTTTAATACATTAATTTAATATCCTCATATGGCACTGGTAATATTATTTGAAAAAACCTGTATAACTGTTAAAACAATATTTTATTTTCTAGGTATGGATTTTGTTTATCATATTCTTTCTGCAACTATACACGAAAGTATCAACTACAAATATTTATTTCTACTCAAAATATTTGAAAATATGTGTACAAGATAAAGATTACTTACATCATTTTCATCGTGACCACTTGTTGAGCCGTTGGATTCATCCCCATCTTCAAAATCGGGAAGTTCCAACTCTGAATTGTCAGACATGTTTACGGTATTATAGGAACTTAACCTCACTTACCAGGAATATCAGTTTTCCGAAATAATTTACTGAGTAATTAAAAAAGCCGATAGCATTCAAAATGTGAAATCCACGAAACTTTAAGCAAGAGTTATTCAACTGATTTAAACACTTTCGTAGCCTTTGTAAATTTGATTCTTTTTAGTTCTTTGTGTCTAGCAGCATCAGTTTTCTCGATAAATTGCAATTTACACAAGTACACACGGGCAACACAAACAGAAATTTACTTTGTCTTTAGAAGCTTTAATTAAAATCTTGGGACAAAAGCAGATGAACAAGCAGAGAATTCCGATGAGAGAACACTATTTATTTTGTAATTGAATGAACAAAATTATTATGACTTGAGGAATTTCTCAAGAATTCACGCAGACGGTGACAAATAGTAGACCACCTCTGTATTGGCTAAATACTTTTGAAAATCGTGTAAACAAGATGGTTGTGCTGCTAGACGTTACATAAAACTAAAACCGGCGAATCGTGTGCTAATTCTATGAAAGCTGTCGATTCTGTCTGGAACTCAGTCCGAGTCGCCGTATTAAAATCGACCGCTTACGTATTGCGCTAAACTGTGGCCAAGGTTATTCACAGTTTGCTTGAACCACCGTGATGGAACTAGGAATCGGCGGCTGCGTACAAGACTGCGGGAGGCTCATAGGAGAATGAACCGACGCGATGTATTTTTAATGGAACTTTACCATGGATGGCGATAATGCGTGGTTTTAGGGTCTCGTTATTAATTATTTATTTTATATTTCGGGCTTCGGGGATTAATATAGGGTTTTGATGAGAAAGTTTTCTTTTTATAGAAAATGGAGCAACTGACTTTCATTATTTTATAAAAATAAAAATAAATTGTTGTTGAAGATGATACTGTGGACTATGACACGAAAGAAAATAAAATTATCTTTCCATACTCATTAAAATAACAATTTCTCCTTTGTCAGTATTGTGCGAATTAATGTGAACAAACAGAATTAATTTGTAAATATGATTTATTTGGGCCAAAGGTAAATTTAGGTACAATTACATGAGGTTTTTTCATTAATTAGTATTTAATATGTCCCCATTTTACTTTTATGACTTCCTGGAATCTTCTAGGCATGGAATCTACAAATTTTTGCAATTGTTTGTGATTACTTCATCTCTAAACCACACCTTAATCACTTCTTCCACCACTTTTGTCTTTGTCGTACAGTCAAATTTTTGCAGTTTAGCCTTACATATTGCCCACAAATTTTCAATAGGATTAAGGTCGGGTGAATTTCCAGGCCAATCAAGAAGGGTAATATTATTATCCTTGAAGTATTTCATCATAACCTTCGATACATGGCACGGAGCTGGATCTTGTTGAAAAATTGTAGTCCCTTCGGCCTATACTTTGTCAAGCTAAGCGTTGCCCTAGCATGCTTTGTATGTTTCACTGGTTATCATACCTTCAATAGGAATAAGAGTGCCAGTTCCTGAGTATGAAAAACAGCCCCAGAACGTTTTTTTGGTGGGATGTTTAACTGTTTGGTTAATATGGCTAGCTGAAAGTGACTTATTGGCTGCCTTTCGTACGAATTTTGATCGCTGGCCCTACACTAGGAAGTGCAGGGCCAGCTTCTGCACTCCAATGAGCGCATTTTTTTTGCCCAATTTAGTCTTTTTTCATCATAGGCGCTGTCAGAAGTTGTTTCTTCTGCGGTCTCACTGCTCTTCTCCCTCCTTCTAAGAGACGTCTGCGTATCGTTGAGTCGTGAATATTTATTCGAGCCTTTTCTAAATCTTGCTGGAGGTCATAACTTGTTTTTCTGGGACTAAGTTTGCTATCGCACAAAAGCGAGGCTTCATCTCGAGGAGTATTCTTCCGTTTTCTTTCACATTTTCCCTTCCACTGCACTTCAACTGACTCTGTTTCCTTTTTTTTGCTTAATTATTTTGTTTACTGCACCCAAACTTACACAACACTCCTTTGCAATGTCCCTCTGAGTCACTGGTGTATGCTCACTAAGTGTTATTTATGATCCTTTCTCTCTTCCTAGGAGTGGTATCCAAATTAAAAAGTTAAACGTGATTACACAATTAAATCAATGAAAATAACACTAACTTGCACATAACCTGAGATACAACAAAATATAATAATGATATAAGACACAAAGCATGTGTTTTGAACAATATACTAATAAGGTTTTGAGGTTATGTTGTTTTTTTTGACAAAACAATTGACAGAATAGGTACAGCAGGTGTGCCAACTTATAAAAACTGAATTTCGATCTCTGTTCACATTAATTCGCACAATACTGTAAATATGTCATGTACATAGGTACCTACTACCAAAGACATGGGATATTATAAAACTTAATAACTTACGATGGCAGGATGTGGAGTGCTATCATCGCTATCATCACTAGTAGTCGGCTCCTGTCCTGGAGCTGGAGGACTGTTACCTCTTCCTTGAGGATGTTGCGGAGACGTCCCGTACTGCCCCATAGCTGAGGGAGGCGGTTGTCCATGACTCATCATCATCTGCTGATGGTGTTGCTGCTGCTGTTGCTGATGATGTTGCTGCTGCTGCTGCTGTTGCTGTTGAATCATCAGCAACTGATTGTTATGTTGCTGTTGCTGCTGGGGCGATGGATAATTCGGCTGAGGACTGTGATACGAATTATTGACCATGCTGTGATCGGGCCCTGATAGATACAGGGGTTGCTGAAACCCTCCTGTCGGATCGTGCATGCCCAGAGCGTCCTGCTGCTGCTGGTTTATTTGCTGATTCATCTGTTGCATGCCCTGTAACAAAAAAAAATCGTTTACAAAATACGGAAAAAATATTCAGAAATAACATAGACAAGTAAAATATCAGATCTTATTGACTCAAATACAAGCACAAAAGGCTGAAAAGGATTTGACAAATATTGTCAGAAGACACATTTCCTTTTTAACATTCTTTACTGATGGCAGAAATGCCACTAAACTAACGAGATTTATCTCATAAACTAGTACTTTGAAGCATCTTTGTAGTCGTATACACTCGATATAGACTGAAATAGGTAAGGAAAGAAATATTAGGTATCTGAAAAGCAGACGAATAAAACATAAACATCCTTCCTTACTTACCACATCTAGGTATACAATTTCTATATTAACATATTACTAATTAAAAATAACTAAAACACAGATTGGTTGTGTTAATGCAAAAACTTGTCTGTAAGTAGGTATAAGAAAGGTCGGTAGATAGAATAAAACGCATTCATTTCACTGCGAATAATATAGTGAATCTATGGTTCAAAACCTGGCAAAAAAAATAGGGCTAACGTAGAGTAGTATAAAATCCAAATAGATCTGCTACTTAGACTAGAATATGCTGGTCAACTGAATCAACTTAGATGAGCAGTAGGATAACAGATGGGGGCTTGCCAATCCGTGTTATGAACTCCATATAGGTATCACTACCGAACGAGCATGGAAACTTGAAAAACCGGAATATACATAGATAGATTTCTACGAAAGCATTTTCAGCTTAGGTCGAGGAGTTAGACAAGGAGACAATATTTCACCAAAATTGTTCAGGGCAGCTCTAGAGTCAATATTTAAGAGCACTCAATGGCAAGCTATGGGCATCAATATAGATGGAGAAATATTAAATCACCTAAGATTTGCAGATGATGTTGTATTAATCGCAGATAATTTACATGATACAGTTTCTATGATGCATTCGCTTAAAAGTCTGTCTGAAAAAACAGGATTAAAGAAAAACTTTGAGAAAACTAAACTTATAACAAATCTCGTAGTGAGTGGAAATATAACTATTAACAATAATACCATACAACAAACAGACACTTACAGATATCTGGGACACAAAATCAAAATAAGCAGAGACAATCAAACACATGAAATACAGATGCGAATAGGCACAGGCATAGGGACAGCAGAATAAGTTCCAAAGGAAAACGTGTGCATTGACGAATCTTTAGTGCCTTTTCAAGGGCGACTAAAATTCAAGCAATATATCGCCAACAAGAGGCACAAATTTGGGATAAAATTATTTAAACTTTGTCTGGAAGGTGGTTATACCTACGATTTTAACGTATATTGTGGAAAATAACATGCTAAAGGTGGCAAAAGGTGGCTAAAGGTGGCAAAATTAAAAGTGGGCGAACATGTAGCTGAACAAAGTAATTCGGGCATCGTTGTTCAGAAGTCGAGGGAGAAGCAAGATGGTACAGAAAATTATCGATAGAGCTCTTAACTAGCACAGCACTTATAAATGCATGTCGCGCATCAAAACATTGTCAATAAAAGCATGACGATTATATACTAAAACAATCTTTAAATGAAGGTGATTACTTGGCAACATCGTACTTAGCGAAGCCCTTAACGATAACTTTTCAACGAAATCGTATTGAAATTATCAATTTTGCAGAGGCGTACCAAAAAAAAATTTTAATTATTTATTTAAACACATAAGTAATTACGTAAAAATTAAATCTAAGACCGATTTAATTATTAAATTATCATGTCTCTTTTAACAGGTATCTTATAGTTGTCTAACAAAATAAAATAAAATTTTATTCTTATTAGAGAGTATTTAATACAGAACTTCAAAAAACATCATTCTCTATTTAAAGAATTGCTGTGTGCTGTAAACGTTATATTTGTTTTTTTTTTAACTTAATTTGAAAGTTTGCTTGTGTTTATTTGTTTATATAAATATGAAAATATACTATGAAGTTCATATAAATTAAAATGAAGTAAGCTAAACTATTATCATATGAATGCGTTTATGTAGCAGTGCATTTGTTTATTTCAGTAAATTTTTGAAATATGAAATGAAGATGGCACTAACTACTAAAGAGTTAATAGCTTTGTTAGAAGAAGACTCAGTTTGTTAAAATGCCACTTAATGTGATTTATTTGCCGCCGAGATTAGATTAGAAAGTTTCTGATGTAGAAGACATTGATCTTCTTCTTCTTCTTCCTCTAGTTTGTAGGCTTTAAAGCCTGTTTCTTCTTTAATATTAGCTTCCCAAATTGTTTAAATTGTCGCACCATCTTTTCCTTGGTCTGCCAATACTTCTTCGTCCATTTGGTGACTTATCTCGTGCTATTCGTACTATTCTATCCTCCGCCATTCTACTGATGTATTTGTTCCACTTTTGTTTTCGTTTTGTCACCCATCCATTTATGTCTTCTATATTGCATGCTCTTCTTATGTTTTTGCTTCTCTCCCTATCCAACAGACTTCTCCTTGATATTCGTCGGAGTATTTTCATCTCTGTTGTTTCTAGCAGTCGTCTTGATTTAGATGTGTCAGGTCTTGTCTCAGCCGTGTATGTTAATATAGGTTTAATTCCTGCTTTATAGACACTTGTTTTTGTGTCTTGTCTTAGGTGTTTGTTCTTCCAGATTGTGTCATTAAGAGAACCCGCCGCTTTACTTGCTTTTAAGCTTTGCTGCCGTACTTCTTCTTCAACATCTCCGTAACTAGTTATATCTATTCCCATATATCTAACCCTTCCTTCCGGCTTTATTATTTTCCCATCAATTTCGATTTTACACCGTAGTGGGTATTTAAATGTCATACATTTGTATTTTTCCGCTGATATTATCATATTGTATTTCTTAGCTGTTGTATTGAAGATATAGGTTAATCTTTAGAGCTCGTCTTCTGTCTCGGCGATTAATGCGGCGTCGTCTGCATAACATATTATTTGGATTTCTTTGTTCCCAATTCTGTAGCCATGACTTATACGTGCTGCTTGTATTATTTCGTCCATTAATATATTAAAGAGAAGTAGGCTTAACGAGTCACCCTGTCTGACTCCGCTTTGTACTGGTATACACTGTGTTAGTTTTCCATTTATCTTTGCCTGTATTCGATTATGGAGGTAGATGCTTTCGATGGTTTGTATAATATTGATTGGTATGTTCCTTTTATACAGTAGGTGTAAGATCTCTTCGACTTGGATGCGATCGAAAGCCTTTGTCAGGTCTATAAAACATAGATATAATGGCCTTTTCTGTGATTTGTCTTAGTACAAATACGGCGTCTACGCAGGATCATCCGGATGTGAATCCTTGTTGTTCATCTGATAAAGTTGTTAGTTTATTGATTTTGTTGGTTAGGACTTTTGTGGTAAGCTTAAGTGCGGTGTTCAGTAGATTTATACCTCTATAATTGTTGGGGTCTTCTTTATCTCCTTTCTTGACCATTGTTATCATTATGCTGTTTCTACATGCGTCTGGTATATTGCAGTGCAATATTAGTTTTTGTATAAGTTTTGTCATCTCTAGGGTTAAACTTTCTCATCCGTATTTTAGAAGCTCGTTGGTTATTCCGTCTGGTCCTAGTGACTTTCTATTTTTGAGTGAATTTATGACTATTTCTACTTCGTGAAAACTGATTTCTATTTCGTCTCTTAGTTCAGGTACGTTATTGTGTTGATTATTATTTTCCTTTGCTTTAAAACAGTCCTTTCAGGTATCTTTCTCATTTGTTTGCTGGTATATTATTGTATTCCTTGAAGAGATTGATGATAATATTATTTGTCAAGAATCAATAAAATCGGATATTGCAGGTACATATGAAATACAAGTGATTGGGAATTCTAACGATTCTGATTATGATATTCCTCTGAACCACAGATAAAACGTCCAAAGAAAAAACCAGGCAAAAATAGTAAATCCAAATTTATCTCAAGTTGTATTAACGGATATTCTTTCGTGCTCAGTAGTAATTCAACATCAGTCTGATTGATATTTAGACAATATAAAAGCCAACCATGTAGGCAAGTCCTATATTGAAGTTTTTTCACCCTTTTTGATAAAAAGTAATTGAGAATAACCGTCATAATTTTGAAATGAATAACATAGATTTAAAAAAATTATTAGCATATGTATATTATCTGGTTTACACTCTGCTTCAAGTTGATATGCATTGGTCAAAGGATGAGGATAAAGAAGTGCATATTATAAGAGAAAGCATGAGCCAACAGATTTATAATTTTAATTTATAATAGTGAAGAAACCGCTACATCAGTGTCAGTACATGGGCGTCAATCTAAATTTACTTTACCAGATGAAACCAGATTCGACAATATTGGCCACATTATAAAAAGAGACGATAGTGCAAAAATGTAGGATGTACAAAAGTAATACTATTTATTTATGTAAAAAGTGTAGAATGCATCTACACCCCGAATATTTCGAAAATTTTTACCTTAAAATTTAATTTACGTTTAAGATACAATATTTTCTTTTATTAAAAATTGTACTCTTTTCCTTAAAAATGAGAAAAAAAATCTTTTTGGTTGTAATTTATTCCTAATTTGTGTTTTTAATCCAATCTAATAAATTAATTGTCAAATTTCTCTTTGTATATTAAGCGGCCGTTAAGGGTTTAATACTATATAAAGAATAAACTGGCCTCAAATTTACTTTACTTACCTCAAAACTATTTTAAAGTTAATAATAAAGTATATTTAATAAATATATTCCCAATAATACACTACGCCTATGTACTGGAAGATATCATATTTCATAAACTTCAATAAACTAAAATATCATATTTCTCTAATTAACATTCTTTCTAAAAACGTAAATATATATAGACCAGCAAAATATTGATAATTTTACCGATGTTCCAAACTATTCTATGAACTTGTCTCACTATACACTCGTGAATCACACCAATTTATATTGTTACGGGGGCAAATTTATCTTAGATGGGTTACACATTTACATATTTACATGGGCGAAGCATACACAATAAAAATGACCCCGGTAAGAATTTACTAATGAAATATTTCATGGTTGCCGCTACCGTTTAGTTAAATTTGTTTGTAGATTAGTCACCTTTAATTAAAAATTGTCCGACAGATTTTATTGTAAAACCAGTCATTATGAAAAATAGTCACAAACACAGCGATGTCGATAGTGCAGGCAGAACACGATGTGCAACGTGTTACGCAAAAATGGTAGAGGAGGACGGAAGCTAAGTAGCACAAAAGAAAGCAACCAATACCTCATTGGCATGTGATGGCCGTAAAAAATACTATTGCCTTGGCTGTTTTTTGTCATACATTTCATGACAAAAAATTAAATTACCTAGTACTTTAGATAAAATTTTGATATGCTATCGTTTTGTTTTATGAAAATAAAGCTTATTTTGCCTAAAATGTATTCTTAGTATAAATATATAACAAAAAAATGTATAATTATGCAATTGTTACTTATAAATATTATGGGTCATGTGAGTCGTCGTTGACATCTCAGAAAAACATGCCAAGTATGCTCTCTAGACCAACTGGCCGGGCTCGAAATGTCACGCTGTATTTTAAATGTGTTCGAGAAGCCGCTGTTGAGCTACACATCATTTTCTGACGATCTAGCGCGTGAGTCCACGTCGGCATCACGCGGCCGGTATATAACTGTTATGTGTGAGTAAGTGTTGGCCTCTTATGGCACTTAACCTGTTAATACACCTGTTTGGGGTGGAACTAGCTGCATATTGGGGAAACACAACAGAAGTATTGTATAGTGTGGAAGTTTTACTTTAAATTTCGTGATATGTGATATACCAAAACGGTTATCCTCGTGGTAAAAAAAGTATAAAACAAAATGGTGTCTGCACTTAAATATAGGATTTGTGCTAATTACTAAGAAACTAGGTATAAACTAATGAAAAGAGCAAGTCTGAAAGATTTACCTGCATAGGAGGCTGATAGTGTTGCTGTTCGGAATGGCCCTGTTGCTGTTGCTGTTGTGGATTGATGGCCGGTATGTCGAATTCCTCATCACCGAAACTGGGAGTATGAAAAGTCTGCAACAATGATAAAAAGGAAAAGAGAATTAAAAAGTTACTTTACTTTCAAACATGGTCTTAGAAAATGGAAAAGAAGTTTTAAAACTAAATAAAACTTTATAGAAACTAGTTTGTTTCCGCAATTCATTTCAGATTTAGAGAAACAAAGTTAGCAGTAACTGTCGAAGAAATTAAAACTTTTTAAGTTGCCGGTATAAAATTTTCTTTCGTTTCCAACTCCCAGCGACGCTGATTCGTTTTCTGGGAGATGTTAGTTTTAACTAGAAACAAATATTTTGGTTTCAAATAAACAGTTCGAAAACTTGGAACTTGGAACTAGGTTCTTCTCTACAAATTACGTTTTAAAAGTTGGGAGTTTATAGCTGCGGAGCTCGGGATGATTAACGAACAGACTTAGTCTCGTACAACACAAGAATTATGAGCGTTAATGTCTTTTTCAATTTTTCTTTATTAATATTTATTTTCCACATAAACCCCGCCCCACTGGCATTATATAGACGTTACGTAAGATGATTCATTTTGGGATAAAAACTTAATGCACAAATTATTTTTAATAACCCTAAAGGAACAAAGTAAAATGATGAATATATCTCTTCTTTATGAAAAATCTTCTTTTTGTGACTGCAAATTATGCATTTTCACAAAGAATCCAAATGCTAGAACAACATAGATAAGTATGGCAGCTTTAAATCGTAAAAATAAAGAAATATATGTCAAAATGCAAACAGGATAAAATGAAAATATTTCTTAACTGTATTTGACGTATATACAAGGACAAGGTAAAACATTCTTGGTCCATATAGCCGATAGAGTTTGGAGTTACAAATTAAGTTACAGTATTGTGCGAATTAATGGAATCACTGTGAATTTTTTTTCATTTTTTCAATATTCACAGTTGGCAACACTACCTACACAGTTGACAGCTGACCAAGCATTGAAAACATAACCTTACTGTGTGTTGGTGTGTTTTAGGTCATTTCTTACCAAGCCTTTGTTGTTTTGGGGGTTTTTGTACTATTTTGTGTTGTTTTTGGTTTTATTCCAACATGGATATTACGCCTAGGAAGCGTGAAAAGATTGTCACGTTGAGTGAACATACTAGTATGTCACAAAGAGAGATTGCTAGAACGTGTGGAGTGAGTCAGGGGGTAGTAAGCAAAATTTTGAAGCGTAAACGAGAAACGGGATCAGTGGATGTGAAAAGGTTAGGAAAATGTGGAAGAAAGAGAAAAACAACACCAACAGATGATAGATTTTTACTTCGAAAGAGCAAATTGGACCCAAGAAAATCAAGCCAAGACCTACAACAAGATCTAGCAGCATCAGCTATAGTGATTCATGACTCAACTGTTCGTAGAAGATTTTTGGAGAATGGTAGAAGGGCAATTCGTCCACAGAAAAAAACAGCTTCTAACTGAACGAATGAAGAAAGGCTACTGTGGGCCAAAAAATACTCTAATTGGACTGTAAGTGACTGGAAAAAAGTCCTATTTACAGATGAAACCCACTTTATAGTTCAGGGACAGCGGTTGAAATTCGTCAGGAAGTCTGACAATGAAAAGCTTACACCATCTCATATTGATCAAACCGTAAAACATCCAGTCAAGAAAATGTTTTGGGGATGTTTTTCATACATGGGGGTTGGATCTTTGGTGCCAATTGAAGGCATGATGAACAGCCAAAAACACAAATCCATGTTGGAAAAGTATTTGGACAAATAACTCCAAAAATGTCAACCCCAAGGAGGAGCGATTCTTCAGCAGGACTGTGCTCCCTGTCACAAATCAAAGGAAATGATGGCATTTTTAAAAAATAAGAAGATTAATGTTTTAGATTGGCCCGGTAATTCGCCCGACCTCAACACCATTGAAAATTGATGGGCGATTTGCAAAGCTAGACTGCGAAAAATCGACTGTACCACTAAAACAAAAATGATAGAAGCGGCCATTCAGGTTTGGTATCGAGATGAAAGGATATCTGACAACTGCCAGAAACTCATAGAATCTATGCCAAAACGGGTAAAAGCAGTAATTGCTGCCAAATGGGGACATATTTCCTACTGAATGATGTAAGTTTACTTTTATAGTTTTGTCAAAATATAATTTTTTACTAAATAAACTGTTTTTTTATTAAAACAGCCTATAATTCCATTAATTTGCACAATACTGTAGGTATGGTTTCTTTATTTGACAAGTAATAAAAGCAATCGCTAAATGTGAATTTGAACAGTCAAATAATTTGTGTCATGTAACTATATTGGGTATTTTTGTCTAGTCGAAATATCGATAAAATATAATATAACCCTAGTCCTTATTTTTATTGATTTCCACAAAGCACTGGAAATAGTCGCTATTTTAAAAGAACTAGCAGAAAGAACCAGAAAACTACTCCATTATTCCTCCCTTGTATAATCTTCATGACAATTTAAAATGGCCAAACATTAACAAACCTGATCTATTCCTCAGCCCAGAATACCTACCAAGAGATAATAAATAAAGTCAATGAAGCGGCTTATGAAGCACTTGGCACGATCCAAAGAACAAAAAGGATACTCTATTGTGGTGGAGAAATTACATCGCTAATGCAGTACATAACAAGAAACAAACGTATCAAAATCATAAGTGGTTGCAATCAAATGAAGCAGATGGTAGACGAACACACGCAAGATCAAACAGAGAAGTTAAAAATGTAGTAACTAAAGCAAAAAATGTTTTGTTGCAAAGTAAATGCGAAGAGCCTAACCAATATATAGGGTCAACAAGATCAACAGTATCATGAAAAACGGTAAAAAACCTGAGAACAAACTGACAAGACAAATTACTAAAGTGTTCTAAATTCACTCTCAAGATTATGGAAAAATAATAAAAAATTTAATTGAAAAAGAGATGTAATCTAATAAATAAATCAATAGAATCGAAAAAGGTACTCTCTACCATCTTCCTGATTGTACCCTGTCATATGTCATATGTACATGCCATACCCTGTCAAACGCTCAAGCGTTTGGGCTTTTGAGCGCTTGAGCGTTTGACAGGGTATGGCATATTGTGCTTGAGCATAAATTGAAATTAACACTACCAAAACAATTATCACTATTAGAATCATATATTACAGAGACAGTAGTTCGAACAAAATAAGAAGATGCATATTCAAAACTTAAAAAAGTCAAAGCAGAGGTGCTACAAGGAAGTGTACTTGGTCCGGTACTGTATCTTATATATACAAGCGACATTCCTGTTTCAGACAACAACACAACTGCTACCTTTGGTGATGACACTGCCATCTCAGCAGTAAGAGAAGATCACAATGATGCAGCAAGAAAATTACAAGCATCAACGGACCAAATAAATAATTGGAGAAAGATATGGGAAATTAAGTTAAATGAAACAAAATCGAATATTTAGATATTACATTGGATGCTAGACTGCGGTGGAAAAAGCATGTCAAATACTGCGTTGAGACTGAGGTTAGTTGAATGTTACGTCTGGTCCAAACTATTGCACGGGGTAGAAACATGGACGTTAAAAGCGCAAATAGTAAAGAGGCTTAAAGCCTTTGAACTTTGGATATACCGGAGAATGTTGAGAATTCCTTGGACTGCTGGGGTCGCCAATGAGGAAGTGCTGAGAAGGAGAGGTCGAGACAAAAAATTGTTGAGAACAATAAAAGTACGCAAGACTGCATACCTTGGACATATACTGAGGAATGATAAATATAGCCTTCTACAGGCCACCATGCAGGGTAAAGTCGATGGCGAAAAGGAAAGAGTTAGAAAGAGGAAGTCATGGCTGCGCAATATTCGAGACTGGACAAACATGACTGTAGACGAATTATTAAACGTTGCAAAAGACAGAGAAACTATCAGAAATGTGGTCGCTAACCTCCGTTAATGGGGACGGGATAGGAAGAAGAAGAATAAGAAGAAGAAGAAGTAGTTCTTAAAATAATTCCAATAAATCGGTGTGTTTATTAATAAGCGTTGTGTTTTGATCTTTCGCAAAGATTTTTTCACCAATTGTCTGGTTGGAGAAAGGTCTGAATTGATATCAAAGTCTAAAAGATTGAAAACTGCTCAAAATGGTAGATATTATAACCTTTAGTCAAAGCCTATCTCCAGCATAGTGGTGAAATTATGATTTTAATTTGCGAATTTTCAATTACGAAAATAAATATTCGGTCATTTCTTTTTCTAATTAAAAATGTAAAATAAGACTTATTAATTTTGAACTCGCTTAATTGCGTACAAATGCTATTCATTTCCATCGAGTGAAAATTTATGTAATAGCAAAGTATTCAAATAAATTTATTTAGCAAATGAAACGTAATTAACATGAAATAAAATGGACCTTTAAAGTTTGCAAATGAGCACTAGCATAGAAATTCCAATCGCGTATTTGGTCCATAATCGGTGTTTAATTAAACAGGGTCTGCAATAATTATATACTAAATAGTGTCGATAGCATTTTAATAGATATGTTTTTCTATTAAATTAATCACTTTATTTACCAATTATACCATTTTCGAATTAGGAATGGTTGTTATTATATGACGAAGAAACAGACATGTGTTGTTTATAATGAGTTATGTAAATGGCATTGAGATTATTAGGGTTTAGCTTGAGAATTAAAAAAATCGCAAAAATCCACACATGTGGTTTCAATGACCTCCCACATCGATAGGTCCTTATAATTTTGCTTTCTGTAGGAACCGTATTAATTGAATTGTCAAAAAGATAAGTTGCGATTGTTCTTTGTCCCTTTTCAGTGTAAAACAGTGTATACTGTGTACAGTGTATACTGTTTACAGTATAAATGGGATTCCCCTACATGTTGAACATCCAAGTTAGAAAGGAGAAACGTCAAGTAGAAAATCGATCTTTCGATCGTTGTATGATTGATGATGTTAAATATAAGCCTGAGAGACAAAATTCCTAACACCGAAATACGTCGAAGAACTAAAGTAACCGACATCATGGGAAAAATAGCGACATTGAGATGGCAATG